GCTCGGGCGCACGCTCGCTGCACATGTTGGTGAGGAACCCGTGACGCCCGATGAACTCCATGTGCAGCTGGCCCTGAGAGCCTTCTTGAGGGCTACGTTCATGTACTGGATGGCCTCCTGCTCGAGATCGCCACCGCGCAGCACCAGGTCGTGCTTGAACGCCAACTGAATCGAAAACTGCACACCACACCACACCACACCACACCACGCCACACCACACCACACCACACACCAATGACATGGCCGGATGGGCCCATCCATCCATCCCCACCCTCCCCTCCCGTCTGTCTGTGTGAGTGTGTCACTTACCGTCTGCGAGTTGCCCTGGATGGTTGAGTCGACCGACACGGTCTGGTTGGGCGTCAGGCTGTGCGGCAAGGTCACGAAGAGGTTCATGCCCTGATGCAGGATGGCCCCGACCTTCGCACCATCAGCAACCAACGCGTTCAGAATCTGCACACACCACACCACACCACACCATCCATGACCATCACACCCCTCCATTCATCCCATCATCCCTCTTTGTGTGTGCGTGTGTGTGTCACAGTACCGGTTCCTGGGCGTTGTAGATGACCTTGCGCACCTCGCTGACATTGGTGATGGGCGGCGTGATGTTGACGGCGTACACCTGGATCTTGACCGACTCGTCCACCTTGAGGCTGAACAGGTTGGTGGAGGCGTCGACCGGATTGCCCAGTGTGCAGAAGGCGGGACGCACCACCGCACCGCTACCGCCAGCCCCGTTCGGCTCCGTCATGACCGCTCACCAACAGCAAGTGAGGGAGCCTTCAGTCAATCACTCAGCAGAAAGCTATCAGTCTAAGCCAAGCGAGAGAAGGAACCGAAACGAGAAAAGTGGCTCTTCCGATCCACTGTAAACTCTCCCCCGACTGTCTCTGCAAGCTCAAAGTGCATGCACGGACATCGTGGCGAATTCTCGACGTGTAAACTCATGGGCCCCCCGTTGCTGGAGTTTGAAAGAGAAAATGCCATCGGCAGCCTTTCGAGATGCGAGGGCGTATCGCGCGCCAGCTGACGCCATCACTGGTCTCGGAGCTGGCGCGCACATAGGTGAGACGGCTGCCCGTGCATGTGCCTGGTTTCCTTGTTGTTGTGATGGATGATTCATTGATCCAGTAGTGGTCGGCTCTTGCTTCATGCACACATGCCGGGGTGAGTGTGTCCGTCCATGGCACCACACACGTACATGAAGACAGCTGGTGGATGTGTGACGAGTGAGTGGGTCGGTGTTTAGCAGCATCAGCAGCGCATCAGCAGCAGCAGCAGCAGGCAGCACAGCTCAGCACAGGGAGGAGCACAGGTGGGAGCGGAAAGAGCAAGTCGATCCGATCGAGTGTTGCGTGTATGTAGGTCCACACAACCCAACCACATATGTATCGATCAAGGCATGAATGAAGGCACTCACGAATGAATGAATGGATTGACGCAGCCAGCCAGCGGAGGGATGCAAACCACAATTACACAAGATGACAAGCGAGTGACCGCCGAATGGATGGATGGATGAAGGAAAAAAACTGGAATCGGTCGGCAGACTGGTGGAGAGATGCAACCAACCAGACAGCACAGACCGCTTGAAAGAGATACATATCGTATGTATGTGTCCGGGTGGCTGTTTCCCTTCCCCCACCCCCCCGGTGTGGGTATGCACCGACCAACACACAGGCGAACCAACACCAACCCCAGAAAGCACAATTACACACGCGCTAAGCCAGTCAGTAGTGGTAGTGGTAGTGGTAGTGGTGTTGGTGTTGGTGGCGGACTGAGCCAAGAGCCGATCCCACGTCACGCCACACGGACGCACACCGACACACACCGACCGACATGATGTCCATTGGTTGACTGACCGATTGGCGGAAGGAAAAAGACAGACCAGACAGGCGAGAGCGAGGGAGTGAAAGGACAGCACGGCACGGCCACGCTGTCTGTCTGTCTGCCTGCGTGCCTGTGTGGGGTAGGTAGGACCATATGCAAAAATACCGTACGCTCTCTTCTCTGACATATCTCATGCACGTCGTACGTATGTCACTCGATAAATCCCTCGCTGCACATTACATACGCGTGGAGTGGCGTGTGGATGTGCGTGTATGTATGTGTGTGTGTGTGTGTCTGTGGCCAATCAATGGATGGATGGATGGATGGATAGATGGATTGAAACGTCTCGCTCGCTCGCACTCAGGTGTAGCAGGCGTAATTACTTGGCTGGGGAGGGAAGAAACACCCCGTATGCCGGCTGGCTGGCTGGCTGACACACCAAGGAATGCATCAACAGGCAGGCAGGCAGGCAGGCATGCAAGTAGGCAGCTGGCACCAGCCAGCTGTGCGGGTCAGTGAGGGAGTGAGAGTGCTTTCAGGCCGAGCGCCATTTGGCACTCCATCCAAAAAAGCAGCGAGCGAGCGGATACCCGGAGAGATGGATGGATTGTTGTCTGTCTCCCTGTCTGCCCATGGCTGATGGATGGATGGACAATGCCCGAGGCGTGGCTGAGTGGCATACAACCGGCAACACGGCCAGCATATAAACACACCAACACAACACCAGCGCCAGCACCATGTGCCGATGGCATGGACGACGGGTGGATGGATGCATGGATGCTGGATGCAGCACAAGACAAAGCTGACTGCCTACCCGTCAAACCTGTCCGTCTGTCTCTCACCTGACGTACGTTGCCTGACCTTGGCAGCTGCTGTGCTCGTCCGCGCAGAGTCACATCACACACCTCCCCCCCCACACACACACACGTGAACAGCAGGACAGCACGCAGCATCTCGGAAAAATCGCAGCAGTGCCATTTATCTACACGCCTCGCTCTCACAGCCAGCCAGCCAGCCAGCCTGCATAACCATGCACAGCGTACCTACCGTACCTTAGAGCAGCACGTCCGGTGTGGTGTATGTGTGTACGTACATCAATCAGTCAATCAGCCAAACAGCAGCCGGCCAGCCAGCCAGTCAGCCACACAGCCTACCTACCAAAAAAAGATAGAGGCAGCCAGCACACCAACCGACGGATATACAACTCACCACCAGCAGCGGGATGATACAAAGCATCGAGATAGATGAGATGGACTGGACGGATGCCGGTGCAACTGAACCCCCCGCAGTGCAACGCAGCGCAGCGGTCTCGGGCGAGACTACGCCACCCACCACGCCCATACTCAGACACCCAGACAGTCTACCAGCAACATAACTCTCACTCACTCGCAGCACGACAGACAGACAGACAGACAGACAGACAGATAGCATGGCAGACAGACAGCATGGCATGGCAAAGTCAGTCTAGAAACACCAGCTGCTACAGCTACCTATCTAAAGCCCGCGAGCATTGTTGGGGAGGGGTGGGCAGTGCTGCGGGTGAGGTGAGGTGAGGTCAACGGGGAGGGGTGGAGGGGAGGTGGGATACGGGACGGGTGGGACGAATGAATGCGATTACAGAAATACGCACGCACGCCAGATCGATGGGATGGAGGCATGGCATGGCATGGATGGGCCATGGACGACCCGAAAGCATTCATGAGCGCTATCAGACAGACAAGTACACACACACACACACATCAGGAAGAGTAGAGGTGAGTAGATAGTAGCATGGTCAATGTCTTGCCGGCAGGAAATGGCTGCAGGCAGAATGAATGTTTGAGGGAAGCAGTGGATCTGGATGGATGGATGAATGAATGGATGAGACAGAGAAATGTGGCCTGCAGCGAGGGATGGAAGAGGAAACCAAAAACAAGGATCTCTCTGGTTAAAAGCGCCCTCCCTCCCTCGGATCTCTGCTTGCCCTTGCCCTCCCATGGTGTTGACAAAAGTGACACCTATATCGCCGCTCCACATTGTCTGCTGGCCGGTCGTTATCGCACTTGCGATCAAAAACACGCCCACACGACAGCCACACAAGCGACAAGGCAAGCTTGACAACGGGACAGGAGACCTCCCTCCCTCTCTCCCTCCCTCTTAGAGCAATAGACAGACAAGGGTAAGTGAGTGACTGGCACAGTGGACGGATGGATGTATCAACCCACCCACCCACCTGCCGGTTGATATAGATACAGTTTGACCGCACCCCAGCCCCCCTCCCCAGCCCCAGGCAACCCCACCACACACAAGTCCATGGCATGCATCAGGCAGGCATGTCTCTCATCTCATTTCTCTCTATCTGTCTGTCTGCCTGCCTGTCACCCAGCCAGTCGGGCAGGCAGCCCCACGAAAAAGGAGTCAGCGAGTAACGGTATGCAGTGGTGTCATGCCATGCCATGCCATGGATGTGTGTATGTATGTATGTTGTGTGTATGTATGTGTACAGAAAGTAACGCCGCCGTTGCCTCCCTCCATTCATTCCATCAGCCAGCCGGTCCGCAGCCCTCCTACAATGGCAAATCCACCATAAAAACCAGCAGCAGCAGCACCAGCAGCACACCGTACATGTATCAGCCAGATGCTATGCTATGTCAAGATGGACGTATGTATGTGTGTGTGTATGAGTAAGTAGACCCTCTCTCTTTCTCTCCCGCGCGCGCGCTCTCCTCTCCCTCTCTCTTCCATCGATCCGCCTTTCCATCCTTACACAACACAAGTATGTCGTTGGCCCTGGATTGCTATGCAGTCAGAGGCCGGAGCAATCCATTCCATTCCGTCAACCGATCCATCCATCCATCCATCCACCACCTCGACAACACAAATACGACAGCACAGCAGACCAGTCAAGTACAGACAGAAAGAGATTAGCACACAACACAACACAACACAACACAGCACAACGCAACGCAGCAGTACACCATGACAACACCACACACCACCACACACCACACACACAGCAGACCACCTCACGGCCACACGCACGTGCACAGACAGACAGACGAGTAAGTCAGTGTGTATGCATCACATGGATGAGATGAGATGAGGCGAGGGAGTGAAGGCGGGGGATGGCAACAAATCCGGGCCGTATGGTGTCGTGTGATTGGTGTGTGTGATTGGTGCGAGGGGGGGAGGGGGGGGGGGGGGGGGGG